AGTGCCCAATAAATCAATAACAAATACATAAAGTTGCATGGTTTAAAATAAATAAATGAAGTATCGAGGCACCTCTTGATAGTCACTGTCAGTTCCCCCTCCAATTACAATGCCTTCTTCCTCTACAGTTTGATGATCTGAAGAGCATGGAATTGGATACGTCCAAACAGAGGCCACGATTCACGAAGAGTAAAGATCAACATTCATATGAACTATACCTAGAATGTCCCGTCCATCTCCCATGCCAGAAATCGGCGTGCCAAGCTGAACCTGAAATTTGCATGACGAACAAAGTAAGACCCTCAGTTCAGTTCCCGGTCTTCAAGTGTTTATATGAGTTCTCTTGTTTCTTCTTCACCCCGGAAGAATATAGAGCTCACTTCTACTTTTGGACGACACTTCCGTGACCAAATCAACTGATATAAATGAAGGAACGCTACAAAAAAAAGTACTCCCTCCATCCCAAAATTTTTGTCTTAGATTTGTCTAAATACGGATGTATGATACAATTCCCTTGGTAGAGGCCTAGAAGAAGTTCACAGTTCAAAGCCTAGAAATAAAATTATACTATATTGAAACTAAATAAAATATACTCCGACGGAACCGAATCATGAAAGTGGAGCTACAGGCGCGTGCATCTAAGCTCTCTCACCTCGGCCCCGCCAAAAAGAAAAGACTAGTAGCTCACCTCGGAGGCCGCCATGGCTGCGCTCGGCGTCGTCGGCTCCTTTTTCCCAAGGCACGGCACGGCGGCTGGTGCGTACGGTGGCGGCGATCGATCGAGCGCGCGAGAGAGGGACGCGTTGGGTATGGCTTCTCCGTCGTCAAATCGATCTCGCGGCTTCTGATGATTGTTTCTCCGGCCTCCTTTTGCAGTTTTGCGGTACGTCGCTATATATATGCTGAGGGAGCAGCGGAATATGGTAGCGCGTCCCGCAAGTTTCCTCCTGAACCTTTTTCCTTTTTGATTGAAAAAAAAAAGATCTGCTCGTAAAGCAGCAGGATACGTTCTTCGTTTGCGCTTTTTTTTCACTCTTCGTTTGCCTCACGACACGCGGAAATCCGCTGCCTCACCTGGTGGGCCGGCCCAGGAACACGGCGCGTATCTGGAGCGCGAAAAACCTCCCAAAAAATGTGCTCCCGTTGCCTAGTAGCTTTTTTTTTTTGATAGATTGCCTAGTAGCTTTAGTCAGTGTCACAGCGCGAGAAGTTTAAAACGTAGCCGCGCTGTTTCTTGCGCATACATTTCAGAAAAAAATTGGTTTTTTTGGAACAAAATGCAAACATAATTTAAAACAAATCACGAACTAGAAAAAAGTTCATGTATTCAAAAACAAAATCACGAATTAGAAACAAGTTCATCGATTTTGAAAAAAGTTCATCAATTTTGAAAAATGTTCATCAATTTGGAGAAAAGTTTGTCATTTTTTAAAAAAAATCACAAATTGGAAGATATACTCATCGATTTTAAAAAAGTGTTCCTTGATTTTAGAAAAAGTTCATTAATTTTCGAAAATTCAGAAATTCTGAAAAGCTTTCATTGATTTTCAAACAAAATCTCAAATTTGAAAAAATTATCATCGATTTAAAAAATCTCACAATCAAAAGAAGTACATCTATTTCGAAACAATTCATATATTTGAAAAAAAATCATGAATTTTGAAAATGTTCATGAAATTAATAAATAGAAAAGAAAAACAAGGAAGAGTAATCAAAACTGGCGAAGTGAGCCAGGTGGTTAGGGCATCTCCAAAGCCGACCCTCAAACCTCCCACATATGTCCGGACCGCGCGGTCTACACATGTTGTGACATCCAACGTGGTCCTGTATCAGTCCACTTGACGGTCGGACGAGCTTTTCCCCGCAAACCGGAGACACACTAAAGGTGTTTTATGGGCGTCTGGACCGCTGTCACGTCCGCCTCTAACTGCATTGGCCCACCATTAACCCCCACTCATGCCCGCGTGTGCTTCCCGCCCAAAACAGTCAGTGCCACTCCAGAGCGTCAATGTCGCATTCATGTAATGACTTTCGTCCGGCTTATATGAAATCCGTTGTGTCCCATGAATTTCATCCATTTAGTGCAAACAGTGGTTGAAATGTAAGCGGACAACGTTGGATGGCCGACTCCCGCATCTGTATCTACGGACGGATCCTTCTGTCCGCAGATGAATGCTAGAGCAAATTTGCGGGTCAGCGTTAAAGATGCTCTTACTCCGGTTTATCTAGTACGGGGAGATTGCAGGTTTGAGTCCCCGCGAACCCACCTAGCGCACCTGTTTTTTGCACTTTTAAACAGGTCGGTCGAGCTCGGCTGGAGGGAGGGGGTGTGCGCTGATTTGCATTTAACACATTAACGAGTGCCGTTTAGGAATTGCCTTTGCCGCTTACGGGTAGCTTCGCGTAAACGGCTTAGCTGGTGAGCCGAGCCCAGCGCTTGGATGTTTCTTTTTCCCTTTCAATTTCATTGTTTTCTTTCATTATTATTATTATTTGTGATAGATGTTTTCAATTGTTTGGATGTTTTATTCTTTTTTAACACGGTACAATCGCAGGTGCCCACATACATGCACGCGCACACACTAGCCTTATGAGCACTTTCGAGATATTGAACCGGCATCACATCTTAAGGCATCCTGTGGTGATTTTTTTTCATTTTTCTGTTTTGTTGGTTTTCTTTTTTCATTTCTCCTTAAGATCAAAATGGTGACTTTAAGGAGGATGTTGGTTGGCTTGAACTTGTTGCGGAATATCGTCGCGTTTCTCTCGTTCCAAATAGTCCAATTGACAAGCATTGTTAGAGAGGCCATTGCTTTCCTATGCAACGTCTCGCGCTAGATATGTTTGTCCCCCACTTCTTGATTGGTCGCTTCACCGGCCAAGTAGCAATGTCCATGCTATCCAATTAGAGCCAATCTTTTCAACATTTTTCCCAAAGCCTCGACGTGTAACGTCACTTGTAGAATAGGTGCGCAACGGACTCTTGTTCTCTCTTGCACAACAGGCAAATAACTTGATTTTTTTGCCAAATGGTTTTATTCATCTCCGGTGGACAATGCCCAAGAATTGCGCCTTATACGCCGAGGCCGTGGTATATTCACCTGCATTCAGAGTAAATTTATCATGGTTAAAGCAAAGTCATGGTGAAAGTCACAAGTCACAAGACATCATGTGACCCTTGGGCAAACCCTCGATATCATCCGTTGGAGATGGACTGATAGCGGCGTCTACACGGCCAAGTCCTGCTACCTAGCGTTGTTCAATGGCTCTACCTTCACCCCGCACTGGAAGTTGACCTGAAAGCAATGGGCGCCCCTTGGTATGAAATTCTTCCTTTGGCTTGCCGGATTGGAAAAATGTTGGACTACCGAGCGTCTCACCCGACGCGATCAGCCGCATATCTCCTACGTGCATCTTATGCGATCAAGAGGAGGAAACAATGCACCATATCCTTGCGGGCTGCGTCTTCTCTTGCATAACCTGGCATGAGATCCTTGCATAGTGCTGGCTCACCACTGCACCCCCGGACGGCTCCGCCCCATTCTTCGACTGGTGGCTAAGCCATCCAAGACTCCCCGCCTTCCTTGCACAAAGGGCTTGGAACGTTGATCTCTCTTTCGGCATGGCCTATCTAGCGCCACCGCAAGATATGCATCTTCGAAGGAGTGCAGCCATCTCTTGAGTATCTTGTTCGTCTCATCAAGGACGAGGCACACATTTGGGCAAAGGCCGGAGCTAAGGGACTCCACACAATCTTACCTGTAACCTGAACTATGTACCTTGGACTGAGCACCCCATCTCCCTCTGCTCACTTCGCATCCACAACCGCCGCCTTCTAGTTTATGCGGCTGCTGGATGGCGATCATTATGTACTTTTTTACCCTTCTATCAATGAAAAGATACGCACCCTGCATTCGGGAAAACAAAAAGACTTTTTTTTTGAATAAAAAGGTAGATCGTTATCTACCTTATGCATTCAAAACAGGCAAGAATGTCTGGATGACCGAAGTCATTTACATGAAGGTGATGTTAAGCGCTGCACAACATGTGCAGCTGGCCATCACCAAACCATCAGAGAGCAGAAAACAGAGAACATGGGGGGGAGGGGGTACAGCTTAAGTAGCGGAGAACAGACTAGCCCAGTGCAGTAGCAGTTCTCTATCCGGCTGGAGACGAGCTCGCATGCTCCATAGGTTGAGAAGGTCAGCAATTTCCTTGAAGGCACGGCCAGCACCCCAGGAGTTCCTGTCAAAGATCCGTGCGTTTCTGGCAGTCCACAAGGCTACAGAGCAGGCAGCAAACAGCACGTGCCATAGTCTTCCATGCGTGGTTCTTGCTTGTTCAGAGCATAGCAGTTCCTGAGCTGCGGCCAAAGATACTGCTGTCTGGTGAAGTCCCAGCTTAGCCCAAACTGCCCCAGCCAAACGGCATCGCAGGAGAATATGATGCATGGTTTCCACCGCTGGGAACAAAAATCCCATCGAACGCTCCACCAGCCGTGCCTTGCGGTTTGCTACCGAAACCATTTCTCACAAAGACCCTGAAGAAAATTGAATATACCCATGAGAACCCTACGCCGTCCGCTCCTGGCGCCCTCTCCGCTCCCCGGCCGGACTTCGAGTGTGCATACAATCAGACACCGGCGCGACCACTGCCGATCCTACCGCCGCGACCTGCCATGGTATGTGGAAGCAACTAGTGCCGGTTCTTGCGCCGGCGTGGGGTGGTGCCGACCAGGTGTTTGTTTGCTGGCCTGAAAGGTAAAGCCAGCCATGCCGCACTTGCCCAACAAGAAGATTCAGCACAGCAATGAAACAAACACAACAATTCAATCCCCCAATGAAAATCTCTACAATTGCCAAGATACAGTCTCGATGCAAATTGTTCAATCCAGTGAGGTGGCACCTGATGTCAGCCATGCTGGCATGCATCCTCAAATTACAAATTAGCTAAATGAATCCAATGATCTCCTGACAGGAAGCCGGCAAGGGAACAACGGCCTAGACCGACGGGGGGTTGGACTCCCTGAACCTCTCGTCGGAGGAGGCGCGGCTCTCCGAGGCGGAGTGCCGGAGCCCCTCGATCATCCTGATCACCTCCTCCATCGCCGGGCGCCGCTCCGGCGGCCCCGCCGTGCACGCCATCGCCACCTGGAGCATCTGGACCAGCTCCTCCTCGATGTTCTGGTGCTTCATCAGCTCGATGTCGAACACCTCCGCCGTCCACTCCTCCCGGACCACCGAGTGCACCCACCTCGGGAGGTCCACCACGTCGTCGTTCCCTTGCGACTGGAGCGGCGCCTTCCCCGTCAGCATCTCCATGAGGAGGACGCCGAAGCAGTACACGTCCGACTTCTGCATGCTCTTCCGGTTCTCGATGGTCTCCGGGGCACGGTAGCCGACCACGACGCGGGACGCGCTGACAGGCGCGTTCATCAGAGAGCTGAGGCCGTAGTCTGAGACGTACGCATTTTGATCCTGACCGACGAGGACGTTGGTCGACTTGATGTTGCCGTGGGTGAGCTTTGCGCCGCCTTCTGAATGGATGTGTGCGATGCCATATGCTGTTCCTAGTATGATCTTCACCCTGGTATTCCAGTCTAATGGCGTCTTCTCAGCAACACCTCTGATACCTGTTGATCAGTAATTCAGTAAGAGATACTATCAGTTCAACAGTTTGATTTTTTGTCTAACACAAGTTATGTTTCTTTGCATGAAAATTTTAAGCTATAGAAAAGAACAATCATTGCAGCTTCAGGTAGGAAATGTGCAGAAATATGTCCAAGTTTTATGTTCAGACCTATAGCAAAATAAAGGTTACTGATATCTTGTAAATGTCATAATCTTAGATGCTAACTTTTTAAGCATGGCATGGATATAGCAAGTTCTGTACTTTCAAAGGTACAGTAACAATTAGTTTGACACTTGACTACTTGAGCAAGCAATGTTGGCCCCTTTGTTATGTTCTCTTGTCAGCCATTGCACAGTTAACAACTTAACATCATAAATAAATATGTAGGAGTGAAAACACATACCGTGCAACATGCCAGAAAAGCTGCCGGTGGCAATGTAATCGTAGACGACAAGCTTCTCATCCTTGGAATAGTAGTAAGCACGAAGCGGGACTAGGTTTGAATGTTTACCCAACCTCCCAACAAGCTCCATCTGCTGCTCAAACTCCCTCTTCCCTGCCACGACATCCTTTAGTCTCTTGACAACCACAACAGTGCCGTCCTCGAGTATAGCCTTGTAGGCAGTCCCATAGCTCCCCTTGCCAAGGACTTCTGCAGAAGCTCTTAGTAGATCCTCCAAGTCAAAGTTGTAGGTGCAACCGTCCAAGAAAACCAACTTGTTCTTCTCAGCAGTCTGGACACCGCTACTGAATTCCTGCTTCGGCTTATCACTCCTGACACCAGTTCCCTTGTAGTCGACACCGGCCTCTTTCTTGCCCTTCCTCTTTGAAAGGCACACACACAACACAACCACAATTAGCATCAGTACTGCAAATCCCCCGACAGCAACCGCGATTATGAACCCTATGCTCAGTTTCCTGTCATGATGCACAGGCGATGGAGATGACGGTGTTGAAGGCAATTCTGGGGAGGGTGTTGGTGTTGGAAATGAGCAATTATCTAGTGGCGGCCCGCATAATTCAGGGTTCCCCAAGAATGAACTATCTGGGAATGTTTGGAGCGAGCGAGGAATTGAGCCTTTCAACTCATTGTTGCTCAGGTTTAACAGTCTCAGGCTTGGAAGCTTCAGGTCAGGAATGAGTCCGGAAAGAGAATTTTCTTGTAAATTCAGGAGATATAACTGAGTAAGGTTTTCTAAGCTTGTAGGAATCTCTCCAGTGAAGGAATTGTAGGAGAGCTCCACTACACTAAGGTTAGGACTGAAAAAGGAAGGCAGACCTCCTGAAAGTTTATTGTGCTGAAGGTATATCGAACGCAAAGAAGGAAGTGAGGCCACATCAGATGGAAGGCTTCCAGATAAAAGATTAGACCGCAGGCTCAGAACTTGGAGAGAATCGAGCTTGCCAAGAGTTTTTGGAGGGATTGTTCCGATGAGCCCAGCACCTGGCAACCTCAGCTCAGATATGTGTGACTGGTCTCCTGAGCATTTGACACCATGCCATGAACACGATGGTGTACCTTGACCCCAGTTAAGCTTGTTGCCGCGGTAGACTGCAGAGGCGAAGTCAAGAAGGGCTTGGCTCTCAGAGGCCAAGTCTGCTTCTGCCAGGGGGTTGAATAAGGATAGTAACAAATGCAGTGAGAGCAGAAGACGGAAAGGGCTTCTCATAAGAGTGAGATGATCCATCTGATGAGTCGTCGAATGGGCGAACTAAATCAGCAGCACCTTCATTTGTTTACAGCAGACAAGTAACCAAACCTGGTAAACAAAAGTGGACATTTAGTGAGGAAAAAAAAACAGCATACTGACACTAAGCTTAAAAATGTAGCTGCAAAACAAGAACAGTATTTCATCATAAGAGAACAAACACAAATTGGCAATCACTGCACATATGTCTGCCAGGTGCCCCAAAGGGCACACTGATGCATGCCATCATGTGAATCACGCATGACTGTAACCAAGTCAGCGCAATCAGTTTTCTTTTCCAGGAAGTGACTCACTCAACAGGAACGCACCCTTTTTAAGCAAGTCAGAATACAAAGTAACTGAGATAAGTCAGGGCACTTTAAAAAGATAAATTTCCATCATTGTTACAGATTTCAATATTTCATCATTCCAAACTAGTGCAACTTAAAGTTTCCTGTGTAAATCGCAGGCGGTTATCCTGTGAGATCGGTCAGTATGGACCAGCAGCCAGACACTTTACTGGACTACCTATTCACAGGAGGCCTGGTTTTTCTAGTGACAATGTAAGAACACACACGCAGTCGAGCATGAAAACAAGTCAAGGGACAGAAACTCCACCTTGGCGCCCTTTAAAGTGTAAAGACAGGAAAACATGGCCTAAAAATTGCAGGCAGAAAGCAATTCAAGGGAAAGAAGCAGAAAAAGAAAAGCGGCACGATACGGTCAGCGTATGAAAAGCCAAAAGCATCAGCAAAAGCAGGGAGAAAGAGAATAACAGGAACAAAGCTGAACCCACAAAGATGAGCACATCGCATCATGCATTTCGGTATTGCCACCACTAAGCTTAGTTGACAAACTACTGAAGCTCAGGCACAGAACTCCGAGTCTCTGACAAAATGCAATGCAAATAGTACCGACAGGAACTGAGACAACTATGTGATGAAGATACCCTACATGTGGTAGAAACTTTGAGCACGCTTAGGAACAAGATGTCGCAGCTTTAGCGTCGCACGAAAGGTATCTGGCCGCGCTAACTGCAGACATCTAAGCCAGTGATCACTCGACAAAGCTGCTTCATCAGAGAAGCCACTAAACAAACAAAGGTCGGCAATCACAAGGAACCATGTCTGAAGGTTATGCAGCCTAATGGAGAAGGAGGTGTGGGAAGCTGGCTGCTGCACATGGCAATGTGCTTGCAGGCTCACCCACATTGTTTACTGTCTACAAGGCCTAGAGCAGTGCACAATTTGCTTCATCCCCACTTAAAGAGGGCCTGAGGAGAAGCAATTTCTTAATCAGGGCCGGCCAATGAATAATGCCCAGCGCTCCAGAGTCCAAGTCCAAGCTGGCTCAGCACCCCATAGTTCACACATCTCCAGGTACTTACCAGCTTCCAACCCTTGAACTACACACATACTACAGCTCATGTGAAACCTTTGCTGGTTGAGTCGATTCTAAGCTAGAGCAAGTAACATGCTACAGGGAATTAATGGCATGTGGGGGGATACTGCTGCCTGCTGCTGGATCCACCATACGGCAGGAACAAGAACTGGGAGCTTGACAGAGATCCAATCTTTGGCCAGTACAAGAAACAAAACTGAAGCAAAGAGAGGACTGGGATTTATGTAGAACTAGAATTTATTTGTTTTCTTGGTACCAAACACAATTAAAATCACTCTAGAACCCCCATCTGCACGATTCCTAGTCCACCTGAATGGCAAGCGTGCAATGTAAATGAACAAACGCATCTACTATCTAGTGATGAATGGTAAGTACAGCACCACTGTTGTACATCTGAACACAGGTGAAGACCACAAGAATTCCTAGTAGGGAGGGACTGAACTAAAAGTGGACAGTGAGGAAATTTGTAAACTTCAAGTGAAGAACAAAGTACCAAACATTTTTTTTCCTTCTGAAGCTAGTAGTGCCTCACTGAAAGGAAATGAAAAAAGATAAAGATGATGTTGGTTCTCTTCCACTATTAATATTTTTGCTAAAAAAATGGAGGCGATATATGCTTCTAGTAGTATTAATCAATCCCACTGTACTGCAGCTGTAGCTCGCAATTTAAGGGCATGATCCAAAACGGCCGTTTTCTAACAAGAAATAAACAAATGAACAGAAACAAAACCAAGTAAACGCCAGTGGGCTTGGACGGGAACACTCCGCGACAGAGACGAACAGAGCCCCTTTTCCCCTACAACGACGAACAGCTCGACGCATCAAGCGCTGTAATTTTCAGAAAAGATGCAGACGACCTACAGACGGGGGGCGAAAGGGCGGCAGCCCACCGCGCGCGCAACCTAGGAGAAGAAGGAGAAGAAGAACCACCCAAGAACAGCACCCCACCCAACGATAAGGAGGCGGAACCGACGATTCGAACGGCCGGGAATGCGGAGCAGAGCACGTACCTCGACGGCGCTCACCGGCCGGCGGAGCCCCCGGTGGAATGCGCGGTAGGAGCCGGCCTTCTCGCTGCCACTCACGCCGTCTCGTCCCCGGACTCTGGAGACGCCGGGCACGAGAGGAAGGACTTCCCGGGAGAGGGGGAGGGGCAGAGCGAGACGGCGGCGACTCCGGAGGGGAGGGGAGGAGGGAGAGAGCGGGGTGCAGTTAAGGGGGGGAATGAAACGGAAGGAGGGCGTGGGATCCACTCCACCACTGTAGTCCGTCTTGCTCAGTCACTGGTACACTGCGCCGTCCGTTTTCCCCTGCTTTTTCGGCGGTATTAATGAACTGTGGATGCGGTAATGTAGTGAAGGCGGTGAAGCGGCACAGTCAAAGTGGTGGTAGGGTGGTCACTGTGCCACTCGCAGGCAAACGGTCGAAACACAGCACTGTGTCACTCGAGAGATTGTGGTAGAAAAGAATTTCATTACACTAGCACGAAAGTGCGCGAAAAAATGCAGAAATTTGACTTGAATGTCCTGCAAAAAAGAAAAAAAAACTACTACGTGTGCAACTTTAGTAAAAAAAAATAGCAACATGGAGGGACTTGAAAGCCAGTTAACTCTGAAAGCTAGTATTAAACAGACAAAAGTGTTTCCCACAGATTTTCTCCTTCCCCATGACCACGAGCGACTCCCGCGTCCAGGGTTTTCACACCCCCACTGGCACCGCCACTGGTTGCCCTGTTTCCTGTGGCCTTAGGGCCATAGATGCATGATGGATCCCGACCCTTGCGACGGAGGGCTCCTTCTTTGTTTTTAGGTTATTTTTTAGTCTATTTAAGGTTAATGCCCTATCCGGGGCGGTGAGGCGGCAGCGGCTGCATGGAGATGGAGTAAAGTCCACCCCACCTAGCCCTCGTCCTGGTTGTGTGTCTCGTGTCATCTGAGGGTGTGTGGAGGTGTGGCTCAGGCGGATCTCGTGGCATTCAGTTGGTGTTTGTCTTCAGTTGATCGTGTCTTCGTTCTTCTGTGTTCGTGTGTCTACGGTTTGAATCCTTTCGATCTATGTTTTTCTTGATCGGTGACGGTCGTTGCTCTAGTGCGGTGGTCTTTTGGGGCCTTAGCACGATGATTTCTTGATTGTCTACTATAACAAGGTTTGCCCGACTCCAGTGAGGGAGGGGCGATGACGACGATCCACCTTCAGCTCATTCTAGTGATTGTAGTAGTCACTGGGTGGTCTACAGACATGGGTGTACCTTTTACTACTTATGTTGTTCTCTGTGCTTTCATGATGTTTGTTGAATAGATCAAAAAAATTCCCCCAAAAAAATATACACAAGTGTTGCAGCAAGGCAAAAAAAACATAACAAAATGAGAAATTACATCCAACTCCTCCCGTCTTATGAATAACACCCATAAATATTAAACAAGAAAAACAATTAGGTCATGTTGTAGACAACGACTTCATCATAGTTGATCATGCCATCATATTCAACCATCGAATACATGGCCTCTCCGCGGAGGTTGAATAGAGCTCGACGGAGATAACTACTTTGTTGAGCTTCAGCTTTTGTGAAGTATGTGAATGCAACGATATAAGACGAGCGATGCACCTCCATACCAGCTTCTTCACCCCCAAAGAACACCAGATCCAGGAAGGCTGGGAACATTTCCCCTTCCCTTTCTTCAGCCGACACCATCAATGACATAAAAAGAGGGGGAAAGTAGCCATCTCGGCCAAATCAACTGACTTAGCAAGCTTTTAGTGATCACCTGTCGGATCCGCCTCCAATAGTCGCTGACCACCATGGAAACCGGTCATAAGAGGAGCCCAAGCTGCTCTACGATGTCGTGATCACTGGAGTGAAGCTCATGCTTGTCATGCAGCATATACCCTAACGCCTCACACAACCTTAGTCCATCTAGTCCTAGCATGCAGACACGCTGATTGAGCTCTTCTCCTAGTATTGGTTTGGTTGACAATGCCATCAGAGAGGTAGGGGCCCGAGCCAAGCCTTCAACGACCATGATTCCCAATAGAGGAGAAAAGAGCAAGCGAGAAAAAAAGGGAAGGGGCATGTGTTGGCTATCTTTCAAATAAAAGTATTGTGACATTGATGAGGTAACACTTACTCGGGTGAAATAATTACCGACGTATAGGAGAGAGAGAATCAAGGAAATAAAAACAATCTCTTAAAGTAAGATAGTTTATCCATTAGACTTTATGTCATCTCTTAATCGTAGAAAGGTGAAAAAGGAAGGAAAGCAATCTCTCAATTGAAACACAGAAGAGTTCCTTAAAAAGTGTTTTTCATCTTCAAGCAATGCCGATGTCAATGAAGAAGAAGGCCAAGAAACTAATCCCAAGCAAGAGTTACTAGAATTTGGTTCTTATTTGAGGTAATCATGTCACTTTCATTTTGCTATCTTTTTAGTCTTACAATCATAGTATGACATTTCCCAACAATTATTATTAGGTTCAAACTGAGAATGTATGATTGAAATTTACTTTTACTGTTTTGCAAATGAAGTTAGACAAATACAAATTTACTTTTAATATTTTGCAAACACAAACATATACATATAGTATTAGATGCCCATGTCATC